TGTGTTAACTCAAGTTTAGGTCTCACCACGACTGTGCAAGAAAGGAAATAGAAGGTCAGAGAGCTTAAGTAGTTTATCCAGCTAGTGCCAGAGTCGGAATTCAAATCTAGGCTTCTTGTCTCCAGAGCACACACTCTCACACTATTCCATCTGCCAATGTGAGAACATTATTTAAAGACACTGATTAACTGCCTAAAGAAGAAGCCAAAAATGAAAAGCAATTGCTTCTAATTGGGAAGAGAGTCAGAAGAGTCCTCTGTACTAATTGATTTGTTTTAAACATATGCATAGACTACATTGACTTTTTTTTTAATTTTAAGAAGGAAGAGGTCACTTTATAGTAGTTAGTAACTGTTAACTGCAATAATGGGTTGGATTCTGGCATGACCACCTTACAGATGATGGAAGCAGTTGGATCAAGTGCCAGTAAGAAATAAGCCTGACTCCTGGGGTGACAACTGTCAGTGTAGGAGAAACCTTACTGGTTCAAGACACTAAGTTCTCTAAGGAAAGTAGGGATTATGACATAATATGTTAAAGTAGAATAATCAGAGTGAACTCTATGGACCATAAACAGATATATTTTCTAGCAGCACCTTGCCCACTCACATATGCACCATGGACTTTTCTCCACTCAAAGGAAGCAAGACTCCTTGTAGGGGAGCTGAATTCCACAGGTGTGCAATATCTGCTACTCCAGAGGCAAGGATGCTTTCAAAGATGTTCAGAGCAGGGCTCAAAGGAGCACCCACGGTAAGTCCTAACAAAATATATAGAATCATAATAATAATTGATAATGATTACATGATCATGTTTAATTGGGCCAAGTTGAGTCTATGAAATGCCACGAGTTCATAACAATATTCAAATAAGAAGAGTTGAGACAACATATACAAAAAAAGGCAAATATGAAGGTTCAAAGAAGGAAGCTGTAATGCAAAGAGGAGATAGTATAATGGGGAATGTTTAATTGTTAATTGATTTTAATAAGAAGGAGAGTCTTAATATATTTGGACATTTTCCTTCTATTTATTTATATGACTGTCTATAAGGGACTGAGAAAGAAAAAAAGAACAGCCCCTGCACCCAGAAGCTGACCTGGCACTCACCACTAGGCGATGCTCTTCTCCTATTGGACATCGATGATCTTACAGACACAGCCTCAGACTCTGAGACCACGACAACACGAGACAGAGAAAGGCCACTGCCTAATTCTGTCTACACAGAGACAAAAGCAAGGTCTCTGCGCCACCCAGAAGACACCAAACACTCCTTCCCTTGGCTGAACAGAATGACTGTATCTTCTTTACCAGTTGTAGCTTTATCCTCGTTCTGATCTCCCCTCTCTATACACAAGGTGATTGAGACACACATCGATAGGATTGTCTCCCACTCTCTGCAGCACCACATAAGGAGTGTGCCCCGTTTCCTCAGAGCCTCCCCCAAATCACCCAACCAAAGCCCAAATCCTAGAATCGGTTCTATCTAACACTCTCATACTGAGATGCCCGTGGGTCTTCCTCACTAAGTGTAATAATCCCAACTTGTTCACTACAGGAGTTTCCCTGGTGGCCTAGGCTGGAGGGCACTGACAGGATGGATGTGCATATACACTGCTTCTACTGTGTGAGGAGGAAAGAATAAATCCGGACTCTGCCACTGCTGTCAGGTAACCATGGCAGGCCCAGCCCTCCTTTGAAGACACACAAAAAAGTTTTGTTCCTTTTTGAGTGCAGTGGGTACCCATTCAATATGTCCCCCATTAAAAAAGGAAGAGGAGCAGGAGGAAGAGGAAGAGGAAGGAAAAGGGAAGAGGAAGAAGAAGAAGAAACCAAAAGCTTCTACCAAAAAATAAGTAAATATATCGCAAAGGATTTAAATGTTAAACCAGAAAGAAAAAACTACAAACGTAGTAGAGAAATGTTAAAAATAATGTTGAGTTGAGGAAACCTTTCTAATCAAGACACAAATCCCAGAATCCATAAAGGGAAAGTTTGATCTATTTGGCCCCTTAAAAATTAAAAATTGCAAAGGGCACCATAAACCAAGTCAGATACAACTAGAGAGCAGGAGACACTATTGGCAATACTTACAGCAGACACAAGGAGACGATCCAAAACACACAAGAGATCCTACAGATCAACATGAAAAGACTACCACAAATTTTTAAAACATTGATAAGGGATATGAACAAATCATTCCTGGGGAATTGACTTGCCCAGCGTCAGACAGCTCTTGGTGGGCAGAGTGCAGGTCAACACCAAGCCTTACAATGCTGGTATTAAAGGGGGGAAATGTGATTTTAATAGTTCAAAAGTTTCCAGGTTTGAATCTCCCTGCATAAACACAGAGATGTGGGCTCACACTCTACAGTTACACTCACACGTCCACATTTCGGTTTTTTATTTTAAGATTACAAAACTGCAGATATTCTGCAACGTGCCCCTCTCACTCCCCATGTCTGGGCCGTCTTTCTGCTTCGGGGCACACAGGACCGCTTCTTACTCCTCCACCACCCACCAGTCCCGAGCAGAGGGCCAGGCAGAGGGGAGGCAAAACCCTGCCATCTCCCTTCGTGGTCTCTGTCGTGAGACCCTGGGCAAGTCACTCTCCTCTCAGTGCCTCAGTTTCCCCACAGGACCTGGCACTGAGCAGTCACTCAGAGACTAGGGGGTGAGACAACTCTGATTCCCTGTATCTCATAATCCTCTGCCCCGTCAGCCTCAGCAGCAGCACACTGGGGGCAGCCCAGGGCGGCCAGGCCACAAGCACGAGAGGCTCTGACTCACCTGCCCTCCTCCACCTCCTCTGCTTCCTCCAAATTTCCCAAAGGGACGAGCACCCCAACATCCACCTCTTTCTGGGGCCACCTGCTCATGTCTCAGCTACTCCAGAACCTGAGCTGAGGCAGGGGGAGTTTTGTGGACTTACTGAGCAGTTTCCCCTTCCCTCTCCACTGTTTAAGGGCACAGGGGGAGGAAGATGCAGTCAGACAAAGCTGGGTTCAAATCCGGGCTCTGCTTCCTCCAAATTTCCCAAAAGGACGAGCACCCCCACATCCACCTTCTTTCTGGGGTCATTGGCTCCTGTCTCAGAGAGTCCAGAACCTGGGCTGAGCCGAGGGAGCTGTGTGAACTCATCTGAGCAGTTTCCCCTCCCTCTCCACTGTTTAGGGGCACAGGGGGAGGATGATGCAGTCAGACAAGCCTGGGTTCAAATCTGGGCTCTGCCACTGCTTAACCTGTGACCTTGGGCCCATGACCCAACCTCTCTGAGCTTTGAATTTCCCTCATTTATAAAATGGTGACAGTAATCCTTCTCTTAGAGAGTTGTTGTGAGGATGGGGAGATGGTTGGGGGGCCCTCCCCTCCCCAGCTTACCAAGGAATCCTCCTCTGGCTGAGTGTGAACAAGATCCAGTTCTTCTCAGCTGTGCAGATCCAGTCGTCAGCTGTGTGTCTGTGCAATAACCAGACACATCCTCCAGACGCAGATATACTTGGGGACCCAAAAGGGAAAGCGAAAGTCACTCCTCTGAGCAGCTCGTGATTAAACAAACATCCTCCTCGGCACCGCCTTCGCTATTCCCACCCGCCTTGTTGACCCCTTTAGAGGAGCAACCCAGACCTGACATTCCAAGTTCTTCTTGGCTCAGCCCTCCTGCCTCAGGCTTCTGGAAGGAAGACCTGCCATGGCAGACTGTGGGACCCTCAGCAAATTACTCTCTCCGCCTGTGGGCTTGTTCCCAGCCCCCTCCTCTCTTGTCCCTCCCCAGACTCCCCACAAAGCCTGCCCTATGCAGCTTTGTGTCACCAGCAATTGGCGAACACCAGATGCTCATTGGGTACTTGTGGTATTGCTGCTATTGAATGCTGTGCCCACCTGGCTTCTAGACTTTGCTTATGTAGTTCCTTCTGCCAGAAGGACCTGCTTCTTTTTGTTGCTGTTAGTCCTGTTGAGTAGATTCTGAATCCAAGCAACCCTGTGTACAGCACAGCAGAAATCTGCCCGGTTTTTTCTCCACTCTCACACCTTTGACCCTACATCAGACGATGCTCTCCTGCTACTCATAGAGTTGTCTTGGCCATTTTTTTCGGAACTAGGTGGTCAGGTCCTTCTTCCTAGTCTATCTAGTCTGGAAGCTCCCCTGAAACCTGTCCATCATGGGTGATTCTGCTGCTATTTGAAATACCGGTGGCATAGCTGTCAGCATGACGGCAATAGGCAGCCACCACAGTGACGACCAGCAGTTGGGTTGGGTGGTTCCCCGACAGGAAACAAACCCAGGCCGCAGCAGTGTGAGCCAGATCTTAACCACTAGAACACAAGGGCTGGCTGCTTCCTCCTCTGAGAGGCCCTCTAGCATCTTCCCTGGCAGAGTTCACTGTGCCCTGCTCTGGTCCCATGGAACTTGAGGGAGAGGCCTCCCACTGCTCAGCTACTGTCCGTGGTTTCCCCACCCTTTTGATCAGGTCTGTCTCTAGACTTGTCCCTGAAAGCAGGGACAGCACCAGTGCCTTTGGGTCCTGGTGACCTGCCTGAGGTGGCCCATCCTTGGTGGTCAATACTGTTTTGATGGATGCAAAAGTTTGTGGGAGTGAGATGAGAGAATGCTGCTGTTTTCTATGTTGGCTTATTTCTACTGATGATAGATCTTTTCCTCTCTGAATGGAAGACTTTTATAGGAAGACCAGTGTCATGGCAACTCAGAAAAGTCTGAAAACAGAAAGCAACTCCCGTTTCCTGCTTGGTTCCTGAGCAGAGTAGCCACTATCAATGGAGGGCTGCGTGTGAGCCAGCACTGTGCTGGCAGCTCCCACGTGTTTCTTATTTAATTCTCATGTCACCTCTAGGAGTTATCAACTCCATTTTAAGATAAAGAAACTGAGAGGAAAAGGTCCCACACTTTTAAGTCATGCAGCTGGACTGCTGCTGGACTTTCCTGCTTTACCCCAGGCAGAAGGGACCGGGAGGGCCCTGGACCACAGAGGCAAACCTGACCCTTCCATCAGGGCCTTTTTCCTCCTGGGCAAATGTCCATGGGGCATCATGGCCACCTCCCCGCCAACTTTAGAAGAGGGACAGAAGACTGCTGGGTATTGTGACAAGAATCACACACTGGAGTTTGGTCTTATAATCACCCTGTAAAGTGGGCCAGGAATATGATCTGATTTTGAGATGAGGAAGCCGAGGTGAGGGGAGAGGCAATGTCTTCCATCCAGCAACTCAAGGGAGGAGACAAGGTTCAAACTTTGACATTTGACACTTGTTTAAAGTTGTTTTTGTCCACTTCTCCTTGTTTAAATTTATTTTGTGTCATTTTTTCTGTAACTTCCCATCCTCTTGATTCATCTTTCTTTCACTAGCATGGCCTTAGCTTGACAGCCAAAGAAAACTAATGTGAGATACAGAACTCAATTAAATATCCGCACGAGCTGTGGTCCTGTTATCACGAGGATCCTCTGTTAAGAATGCAGAATGGATTCCAGACGGACATTTGTGGACTCGCTGAGCATAATCTCATGGTGGAACAATGAGGATGGAGGCTGCAGACTCAAATCTGGATGGTAATTAGGCATCTTTTGACTCCAGTGACATGAGCTGACACCCCATTTGGAGACCCTAAAGACCTAGAACTATAAACTAGTGACCCCCACTATCACAAGAAAAGTCATCCAGGATTACTACAGCTCCAGAGTTGGGGTGTGGTCAAAATCTTTAGTCAATAAGCAATTTCAGTCCACTGTGAAGGCAACACCCATTCAATGAGAAAGCAATCGGAAAATTGCTTAGGAAGGCATCTGAGGAATAATGGATGACTATGAACTCTCTAAGGGGATGCTGATCTCTTTAGGAGGGAGAAATCCAAGGAGGTCAATGGTAGGGGAGGCAGTTCATGGTCAGAAAAAAAGAGATTGTGGGTTTCATGTCAGGCAGCAGGGAGGGTAATGATCGGGGTTTAGGTTTCACACACCGATGTTCTCAGCAATAGAATTGGTGGACAGTCCACTTACTTTCTAAAACCCATAATCTGGTGAGCAAAGATCAGACACAGGTCAACATGCTGGACAGTCTCTGCTTGCCACCCGATTCTCAGGCCTGAGTTATGGGACAGACCCAGAGCCCTTGAAGGAAAGGGTAGTCAGGAGGTTGAGAAAGGACCTGTGATACCCCATACATGTAACATGCAAACATTCTGCCTTTATGTTGTCCATGGACTGGGAGCAACCCCTCAAGTAACAGTGGACTAGTTAAAGGAAACACAGCATACCCAGGACTGTGGGAGACTGGGTCCAAGGTTACACTAACTACTAGTACCAAGAATAAGCCAGAATGATCCAGTCCATGGGTGACTGGTCAGAGGGGATGCTTACAGGGGTAAATAATAAATGAATGTCTCATTTGAGCTCACCTCACAATAGGTCCATTGGGACCCAACCTTCACCTGCCCCATTTTCTATATTCCTGAGTGGATACCTGGAAGAGGTACTTTTGGAAGCTGCAGATTGTCCCCCACACCCGTGGATAGGAGCTATTCCAGTGATATAAACAAGTAGAGGCCAATGGGTTTTACATCTCCACCAAAATATTCAAATTAAAATCTACACCAAATTCTTGGAGGAATTACAGAGATTGGTGCCATCATCAAGGCTCAAAGAAGCCAAGAGTAGAGGTTCCTTTGACACCCTATTCACCTCTCCAGTTGGCCAACACCAACCAGCGATGTGTCTTGGAAAACAGTGATTGGGAGCTCAGAAAACTACTCAGGTTGAAACTCCAATGGAAGTTGCCATTCCTAAGAGGTTCTTCTTAATGTAGGAAATAAATACAGCCTCTTGCTCTTCTTATGTATCAATCAGTCTTCTCGGTTCCAAGCAAAGATACCAACTCTGGTTTCTTAGTGGAAAAAAAAAAAAAGGGAAATTTATTGGAATAATATCAGAGCTCCCCCAAATCAGCAGGAGGCTGGAGACCAGGCTTGGAAAATAAGTGTAAACCAAGGAAGCTTCATGGTGTCAAAGGCAGGGAGCAACAGAATCATCTTTTGTCAGGAACAACATAGTCAAGGTGCTGCCTCTGCCACCCTAAGATATTATCCCTGCTGGTGCAGGACAGCGTCCCCCATCACTATTCCCCTCTAGGGCAGTCACTGAGAATTGGTTCTAAGAACACTTGGTCTTTGCTTCACTTGCTCCAGATTCTGGATCCCATGTGGAAGCAGCCAACAAATCAAGCTAAGTCTTGGGTATGAGCCCTGGATGCCAGAGAAGGAAGAATCTAGTCTCCACATACAGAGAACGTCATGACTACCCGTGATGGGAAACCCCCAACTAAGAAGAAGACAATAGTTCTGTGTGAAACAAGTTTATTACATCCAGGGGCCCCAAAGGTTGACATCTTTGATTGTAGGACACAGAAATCAAACTCCAACTTCAAAAACTAAATAGACACATCACTGAAAGGTCCAGAAAGGCCAAATTCAGGTGCTTAAACTGTGTCATCAGGATACAGCTTCTCTCAAATTTTGCTGGGCTTTCTTCCTGACACAGCAGCTTCAACCAGAGCTGGGCTGACTTGGAACCTAATGAATCTCAGCCCCCGGAAGTGATGGTCTTTGATATCATTGAAATGGCCTGAACGGGACTAGGACGGCAGAAAATACTTCGAGAGGTTGAATACTGCCTCATAGGATGTGTTATGCTCTAAATCCATACTCGGTATTTAGTGCATTTTCTCCCACAGCCATAATTTATGGATCTGGGAATTAAGAAGTTAGGATGAGGGTGATAGACCTCGTGATTACAGACACTAAACTACTCTCCAAAAATTTGTTTTCAATCCCCATGATTCTGGACCTTCTGGTCTAGAGGTGTTAGTA